TGGGGACGGTGTGGACGTCCCCTCCCGTGGGTCAGGAGGAGCTGGCGGGGATGCCTGGGGCTCGGTGGGGCAGGCCTTACTGAATCCCCGAGCAAAGTGGCTTTTTCTGGGGAATACCTCAGGAGGGGAGCAGCCCCCTTCCTCCCGCTGGGTGCTCCTGCAGCCTCGGGTGCTGTGGGTGTGCAGCAGGGACGGTGTCTGAGGGAAGGACCTTCCCGGGGGCCGAGGGCCCCGGTACGGAGGGATGTTGTAGGGGCGATGGAGGCGCTCCACAGCTGGCGTTTTTGGACAAGCCTGTGCCTTCTGCCCCGGTTCCCCTGTGCCCTCCGTCCCCGCCAGCCTGCTCTCGGGTTTGCTGCCGCTTGCCGTGCTCTGTCACCGCTCCGCTGCTCGTCACCACCTATCAGCAGAGGGATTTCCTGTGCCGTAATTAAAAATATCCCCTCCTTGGGTTTGGGCTCTCCTCCCATCCCTCTCCAGCAGCACTTCACTGGCTGTTTCCGTGCCCTTTCTCCTGGGCGAGCGGCCGGGCAGCGAGCAGCAGCCCTCACCTTTCTCCCTGGATGGCACCTGCGTGTGAGCCGCCGTCCTGCCCATCCCTGCGGGGCCGGGATGCAACACAACACCTCCGCGGAGCCCGCGCCAGCTGGCAGGCCCGGTGGGAAGCGAGCTGCCTTCTGCCGCTCTGCGTAGGTGGCGGGAGCCATGGGGACGGTTGTCCCGTCCCTGAAGAGGACTCTGCGTGAGGCGGCAGCACTGACCGGTTCCAGGGTGAGTCAGCAAAGCCCCTGTTGTCCCTGATACCTCCTCGTGGTCGAGGGGGTGTGAAAGGCAGCTGAGGGAGTCACGAGGTGCTGGAGATGGTGTTCGGTGGAAGGCAGAGAAGAGCTTTGGTGGGGCAGAGGTGGGCGCTGAGGTGCGCAGCTCACCTGGGCGGTTGTTCAAGTACCTGATCCCCCGTGGGGGGAGGCCTGTGGCCGAGGAGAGGGACACAGGCTCCGTGGGAGCGAGCGTGCATGCCTGCTGCACACCTGGCTGTGGAAAGCTGTGCGTGAGCTTGATCGTGTGTCTGTGGCCAGGTGAGGAGACACCCCACAAGCTGTGACCGTGCTGGGGCTGTTCTGGGGGAGCCAGGGGACTGGCACCACGTTTCCATGAGCAGTGAGGAGGCACCTGCCTAAAAAGCCTCTTGATCCCAGCCGTGGTCTGGGCACCAAACCCCCCGCAGGTCCTGTGGCAGCGGTTGCAGCTCATCACAGGCTGTGGGCAGGCGTGGGAGGCAGCTTGCAGGCAGAGCTGCCAGACCCTGGCAGGCAGGGATGCTACCCCTGCCTCCGGGGAGGCCGTGGTAAGGCGTGACACAAGGACAGCGTCAGCTGGGCTTATCTTTGCTTTCCCAGAGCAGCCGGGTTACTGGAACTGCATTCACTTATCAGGGAACAGGGGACCTTACCGGGAAGATGGGCTCGAAGTGCAACAGCATCGAGCCCCTGCTGACGCTGAGCTCCCCGGCACTCCGAGCTGCCGGTGATCCCTGAGCCGGGAGCTCTCAGCTCCCGCTCCCTCTAGCCCTGGTGCTCCTGCGTGGCTCCGATAAACCTGGGAGCTGCTGGGGCGTAAAGTTCCCTGCTTCACGCAGCCTGTCCCTGGAGCCCTCCTTCCCTGCAGCGCCTCGGCCTGGGGACCCGCGCAGCTATCCTCACGGTGGTCGGGGGTCCCTGGGTGCCCAGGAGGGGTGGCATTGTGCCATGGGGGTGCTGCATGGGCACAGGGGGCAGAGGTGCTCTCCAAGAGCCTGGTTTTGGGAGCAGTTCAGCTCTGGTGGTCTTCTCTCTCTGCCCTCCATCTCCCCCAGGCCAGGCCATGGCCATCTGTCCCCAGCCCTGTCACACGCCTCCCTCGGAGAGGGGCCCTGGCCGTTCGCTGCGCCGGGGCTCTGTTGAAATCTGCCCGGCTCTTGCTGTTGCTGGAGACGAAGGACTGGAGGCAACCGGCTCGGACGAGCCAGGCCGGAGTGACTGCATTCCTGGCCGGGCCTCCTGCTTGGCCCGCTCTCCCGAACCCCAGGGGAAGGCAGGAGTTTTGCGACCCAGAGCGTCTGCCTTCACCGCAGGGATTCGCAAAATCCAGATCGTGCTGCAGAGCAGCCTGCGAAGGCCAGGGAGTGCTTGTCTTGCCGGGGTGCGGCAGTGGGGAGAGGGAGGCGGGAGGCTCCGCTTCGGATGCACAAGCGGCGGGGGGACGCGCGCTGCGGGCTCCTGCCGCAACCGTGGGCACCAACCCTGCTGCTGCTCCCCCAGGCCTCGGCCCTGGAATAAAGCCCAGCATTTTCCTGCTGCAATGATTTCTATCACACTTCGATGCTAATTTTAGAGAGCCTAGAGCACGTGATGCATCTCCTGCCCTACCCGCATGGTATTCTCCTTGCAAATCCTTTCTGGCATCCACTTCTCTCATGACTGGTCCTGTGCTTCCCCCATCGCCCTCTGTGCGTGATTCAGAGCGAGGAAGCACAAGGCGCCTGTCATCCGCCCGCTCCCCACCACCGCTTTCCTGCCAGCAGGGGCCCGGCAGCCTTCCTGCCCCTTCCCGCTGCGTCCTCCCCTCCGGACGGCTCCACGGAGGAGGAAGGAGCCCCAGAAAGTGGCAGAGAGGGTCTCTGCTCCGCTCCCACCCCTCTGCTCACTGCCCCTCTCTTCCCACAGGAGCGGTTTGTGGACCTCTACGGGAACAATGCTGCTGCCGAGGTGAGGAAGGGCCAGGAGACCTTCAACAAATGGCTCCTGACCGGGGCAACGGTGGCAGGAGTGCTTCTGCTGGGATCCCTGCTGAGCCGCAAGTGACCCGCCGCCGCCGAGTCCCCCCATCGCCAGGACGGCTGCGCCTTCACCGCCACATCCACTACACTCCGCTCCCGAGCACCGTCACCGGCGCGGGGGGGCAGCCCCTCCGCCTCCCGGGCGAGCGCCCCGCTCCGCGGAGCTTTCTCCCTCGTGCCGCCAGCTCCTTTTATCGTAGTCCCTCTTATTTACCGTGCCGTTGTGTTTTAAAGGTGCTGAGACCAATGCAGCACTTCAGCCAACAGCTCCCAGTGCTGGGGAGATCCAGGCAGCCGGGGGGAGTACTGGCTAGAAGGTGTCCCAGCCCTGCAGGGTCCTCTAGATCACTTTGAAGAGAATAAACAGACTTATTTTTGCATGTGTGAGTGCGTGCGTGTGTGTAGATGTGTCACTAACGTAAGGTTCCCCAGCCAGAGCAAGGGTCGAGGCTCCGTGCCCCTGTCTCCGGCATGATCAGGCCCCGGGGAGAGGCAGGCTGCCGGACGGGACAGAGCTTCCCTGCAGCATCCCTGTCCCGTCCCCGCTTCCTCCGGGCAGAGCTCGTCCCCGCGGCGGAGGGGAGCCGGGAGGAAGAGGCAGAGGCCGAGGGCTACGAGCTCTGCCCTCCCGTCAGCCCCCAAGCCCCTTTCTCCCTGGCCGTCAGCTGCTGGGAGCCGAGGCCGGTCTGGGGCGAGGATGGTGTGTCAGGCTCAGGGCCGTGCCCACTTTGAAGGGATCCTCCTCCTCTTCCTCCTCCTCTGAATGTAGATTGCTGCGGGGCAGCGCGCGTCCCTCCCCACGCCCGCTCCCCTGGGTGGCAAAGGAGGGAGGCAGGCGAGGAGGGAGAGCGCTTGGCCCTGGCACAAGGGGCTCTCTGGAGAGCCGGGGCCGCGGCCCCCAGCAAGCGCAGGAACACAGAGCCGGGGCTGGAAGGGGCAGGGGGAGCGATGCTCCTGCCCGGGGGTGGCCGCAGGGGAAGGCAGAGCCCTGGGAGCAGCCCCAGCGTGGCTGATCCATGGGGATGCGAGCCCAGGGGGCGTGAGGGCGAGGGCTGGCACCGGCTGAGGGCCGTCCCCGCCGCCGGGGAGCCTCTTTGGGGACAGCGGGAGCCGCTGGCCTCTCCCGCGCTGCCCCGGTTGCTCCCGGTCCCCGTAGCGCATGCAGATCCCTGTCCCCGTGGCGTGGCTGTGACGGGTGCGTGCAGTGGCAGAGGTGCCCGGCTTCCCCCACCACGCTGCTCCTGCTGCCGCCGGGGCACCCAACCTCTGGGCTTGGAGCTGAAATTAAGCTTCCAAAAGAACCCCTCGTCCTTCGGAGCCCACCACCGCCGCTCGCGGGCTTGCCTGTGTACATACCGCCCGTGCTCTGCTGTACATATCCGAGTAGTTTTTAATTCATTTGTGAATACTCTTAATGCTATTTTTGTTATCTTGTCTGTCTGTATTTATGTGTGGGGCCGTGCTCCCTGCAGAGGCCAAGGTGGGATGGAGGTTTGGGGGGCAACCGGAGCCTCCCGACTGGCCACCGAGCACGGACTCGCGCTCGCCGCGTAGGAGCCGGAGGTGAGGCCACTAATAAACTCTTGTCATTGGAGCTGCTGATGGTGCCGTGGTTTTTGTGAGCACGATGGCGGAGGGGGGGGAATTTGGGCAACTTTGGGTGGGATGGAGGGAGGGGGAACGGGTCCTCGCCCTGCCTGGGGAGGGTTGGGGTGCTCTGGGAGGGGGGTGGCGTGGCAAGGTGCTGCCTGTCTCCGTCACCGAGACCCCCTGCCACGTCTCACCGGGACCTGTGTCCGCGTCGGGTGGGGG